CAGCATCTTAGGGATCGCATGCAAGGACTTCCTCGTGGGGACATGAATAGATACGTGGGACAACACAGAATCTCAACCTGGGATGGGACATTTGTAGCCTTTTTCTCTTAATAAATTTAATGTTTTACAATATCCTCTGTAAATATGTCTCATACCAAATAATAGAGAATAGCCATCTTCCTGTTTTAGACAAAGGCATGGCCGCTGTGTGGATTAAAGTCAAGGAGAGAAGACACTGCCTTCCCTGTCTGCCCACTGAAGTCTGGACTTTGTCAGTCCCAGGTTCTTCTGTTCCTCTATACACACCAAGGACAGAAAGCAGTTCCATAACGTGTGGTCTCTCAATAGCCAGAGAGTCCAGTTTTAAATGATGTTTTAGGTTACTCAGAAATTTTCATGTCTTTGTCACAACAGAAATTTCTTTAGTGATCAGCATAAAACAGCTACATTATGTAACTTCCCTTAGCCAAACCACAATGAATTATAGCATAAACAGCCACATCCTTCCCACAAACAATTGGAGATGCTGGACCCAAACTTTGGGACTATAAATAAAGAGGACATTAAAATCTTCTTCTATTAAAAGTGATTTATTTTTCTCATGGAATATATCCTGATTATGGTCCCCTTTCTGTACCCCACTCAGTCCTTTGTCACCTCGCCTCCCATCCAGATCCACCCCCTTTCTGTGTCTCATTAGAAAACACACAGGCTTCTAAGGGAAAAATAACAAAACAAAATTCAATACTATGAAACAAAAACTAACATATCAGAATAGAATGAAACACACAAACAGAAGGAAAAGAGACCAAAGAGAAGGCACAAGAAGCAGATATAGACAGAGACCCACTGGTTCAAACACTTAGAAATTCCATAAAAACACTAAACTGGAAGTCATAATATATATTCAAAGGACCTATAGGGTAAAAAAGAGAGAAGAAAAAGATCCAAATTAAATAAAATTAAAAAATAATATATTTTTTAAAAATTGTAAAGCCCAACATGGTCTTTTGAGACAAAGAACTTCCAAAGATGCTGTTGAGTTATTTCCTGTCAGCTATCTACGACTGGGCGTGCAGCCTGACTTTAAGAATACTTTATTTCTCCAGTATTTCCCTAAGCTACCCAGCACTCGGGAGGCAGAGGCAGGCGGATCTCTGTGAGTTCGAGACCAACCTGGTCTACAGAGCTAGTTCCAGGACAGGCTCCAAAGCCACAGAGAAACCCTGTCTCGAAAAACAAAAAAAAAAAAAAAAAAAAAACCTGAACAAAATCTTGGGACTGAAGAGATGGCTCAGAGATTAAGAGCACTTGCTGCCTTTACAGAGGACCTGAGTTCTGTTTCCAGCACTCACACAGTGGCTTACAACCATCAGTAACCCCAGCTCTAGGGAGTGCTGCCCTCTTGTGGCCTCTTCAGGCGCCAGGCATCCATGTAGTACACGTGCCTGCATAAAAACAAAGCCAATACATAGAACAAAAGTAAGTCTTTTGGCTCAGCAGTTAAGAGCATTGCCTGCTCTTCCAAAGGTCCTGAGTTCAATTCCCAGCAACCACATGGTGGCTCACAACCATCTGTAATAAGGTCTGGCCTGCAGGCATACACAAAGATAGAATATTGTATACATAATAAATAAATAAATTTAAAAAAATACTAAATAACATCCATTTAAAACTTACTGTGTTCAATAAGCCTTGTTAATTTACTAGTTATTGTATCTATTGTTCACAAAAATCCCAGGAAAAAGTTGTTCCTTTTGTTCCCACTTTCAGCAAAGGCAAGTAAGTCCCAGAGCAGTGGTTCTCAGCTTAGCTGATGCTGTGACCCTTTAATACAGTTCGTCATGTTGTGCTGACCCCAACCATAAATTTATTTTTGTTGCTACTTCATAATTGTAATTTTGATACTTTTGTGAATCGTAATGTAAACATCTGATATGTGATCCCTGCCTGAGACCCATAGGCTGAGAATCCCTGCCTGGGACCCATAGGCTGGGAACCCCTGCCTGAGAGAATCAGTCGCATAGTGAAACTAAAATCCACACCCCTCTGACCAGAATTGATGTGGTATTTTTAATTTTATTTTAAGTATTTCTTTGCAAAACTTCTGTCCCCATAAATGTGAGCGTTTTTACCACATGGAAGTGGTCAAGCCCTAGGCTATTGTTCTTTTTCTTCTTCCTTTAATTATTGTGTTCCAAATCATTTCTCCAGTGAGTATCTTAGAACGAGGCCGCCCCTATTCTGTAAGAAATATAAACTAGTGAGTTCCCGTACATCTGCCCCACTCCTATGTACACCCTTATCATCTAATAGTGTTTACGATTTTGAATGTCATGTATGCAGTTCCTATCCAAGAGCTGTACAAGTTTGGGGAAGAATTTAACTTCTATTATTTTAGAGCTTGTGTGTGTATTACCTTTATTAGATCCCTAAAGTCTAAACTTGTTTTAAATATAGGACTGAAGCTCCTCCCCGGTGTCCCTGTGCCCGCCCAATGTCCCTGTGCCAGCCCAGTGTCCCTGTGCCCGCCCAATGTCCCTGTGCCAGCCCGGTGTCCCTGTGCCTGCCCGGTGTCCCTGTGCCTGCCCAGTGTCCCTATGCCTGCCCGGTGTCCCTATGCCTGCCCGGTGTCCCTATGCCAGCCCAGTGTCCCTATGCCAGCCCATGCCTGAGGAACTGGGTTGTGCAGAAATGTAAGGAAGAGGAAGTCGAGCAGAGGAAGCAGAACATGAGGTTGGAGCATACTTGGCATATTTAAGAAACCCAACAAAAGCCTTTAATTTAAAGTAAGACAGAGAAAGGGCATGCCAAGAGCAGGTTCCATGCAGAGCCAGCAGCACAGACCAGACATAGTCACAAGGTCCCTATGTCCACGAGAGCTCTGACTTTCTTTAATGCTTGACTCTCAGCACGTTTAAATATGTAATAATAATTGTAGTGAGGAGTTTGACTCTTCATTTTGCAGTGAGCAATGCAACTCATAAGAGTTCTCCACCCCCTATCTGTGGCTTTGCTTTCCTCAGATTCACTTGCTCATGCTCAGCACTGCCCAGGAAGTATTAAATGAAATTTTCAGAAAGATACAAAGTGTGTTTTCCATTATTATCCATCTAAATAGCATGGTGAAATTTCCTACGCTTTCCTCCTAAGATTTACGAATTACACAATGTATCCACGCTTCTTATACTCCCTACCCGTTGGCCCCTTAATAACCAGCTCAGTTACCAGATCAACTGTTGTATCACACCACTTCTGCTCTACATACTCTTATTTTATTTAATAATGGTCCCAAAAGATAAGGCTAGTAAGACTGGTAACGAGGAGATGCAAATGGAAGTAATAAACCACATCTATTAAGTGAAAATATGAAAATTTGCACTTGGTATATGCATGTATAAGAAAAAATACTATTTATGGGGTTTCAAGCATCCACTGGAGATCTTGGAAGGGGTCACTACCATATGCAACTAGTTCTGGGTCAGAGCAATAACAAGGAGTTGATTGTTGTAGAGTTTTAGCCATTGGCCAATTCTAAGAACTATGAGTTTATTTCTGGATGCGATGAGAAGCCACCAAGGCATTTTTAAAAGTGCAATGAAAACATCTAATTGCTTATTTCATTTAAGTCACTCTGGCTTTTGCTGAGAGAGTTCTGAAACAACCAAAGGGTGCTGGTGAGTTGATCCATGGCCAGAAAAAAAAAAAAGGCCACAGCCTAGGTTTTTTAAGACAAATATAAAAACATACGGTGGGTGGGAATGGTGCATCGTGTCCTGACTGTCAGCCCTTGGAAGGGACAAGTGGTTCTTTGTGAATCTGAGACCAGCCTCATCTATGTGGTAAGATGCTGTCTCAAAACAACAGCAACGGCAGAACCAGACATATAATGCTGAATGGGAACTAGTAAGTGAGACAAAGAGAAAAATCTGGGGAGACTTTCAGTTTGGGACCTGAGCGCTTAGAATAGTGGAAGACCCCAAAAATGTGGGCTTGGGCTTGTGGAGACCAGGAGTCTGTTTATGGAGCTGTCCAAGTTGAGTAAATAGATACGCGAGTCCGGGGATGGGTAACAAGGTTCAGGCTAGAGAGGTCGACACTTAGAGATTGGGAAACACAATGGAATTGGACGAGGATCCAGAGCAGAAGGAAAAAAAAATCACAGGAAGTAATCGCCTGGGACTAAGGAAAGAGCAGCTCTATTTGGGCCAAGAGGCCATGTGTGTCAAATGTCAGTACCGCCGAGGAAGTGCCTCAGAAACACCTGGGGAATTGCCTGGCCACGGAAGCATCAAGACAAGGATTTTGAAAATGCTTTACTGCATCACTGAAGACATGGTTTTGTGGTTAAAAGCACTGGCCTCTCCTCCAGAATATTCAGATAGTAACTTAAATAATCCTTAACCTTTTAAAAATTTTACCACATCTAGTATTAATAATACCACAACCAAGTTTAGGCTCCTGCTGCCCCAGAAATGGATTATTGAGTAAGCCCTGAACTTCCTGTGTTTGTTCCCACCAACAACCCATCCCGATTAGTCATTCTGGAACAAAGCTTTTCTTGATTACATCCCAGATCCTCTGGCTTTGCTCCCAGAATTTTCTCTCACTCATTTCCTCATTGTTATTCTTTTTTCCTTAAGAGAAAAGTCCCTCGCGCAAGATCATGTGTTTGAACAACTTGTCTCCAGCTGGTAAAGTTGTTTGGCAAGGTTGTGGAACACTTTGGATCCAGACGCTAGCCAGCAGACTGGGTCAGGTCACGGGACTGGGCCCCATGTAACAGGGCCTCATTTGGGGCCCTCTTTCTGCTCCCTGACTGGCAGCAGCCGTGTCTTTTGCTCCCATGGCTACAGCTGTGGGCTGCTCCCTCTCTCACACGTTCCCTCCAGTTGTGGATTGTCGTTCCTGGCCCATGAAGCGAAAGAAACCATCTTCCAACACCACATTTCCGTCAGGTGTGCTGTCACGGCTGCAAGAAAGGCCGCTAATAGACCTACCTAGCAGAGCCATGGCCTTCCGACGTGTCACGTGTCCCCGTATGTTTGTTAACGCCGTCTTTAACACTAGAGAAGGGAGCTCTCCAGAGCAGACACAGGCGAGAATGATTCAAGAGGCCTCCTCTAGTCATTATAATTTGATGGGGTCAGTCTCTGTTAATTTAAAAGGAAACGCAAATAGAAAACAATAGCACTGATTACGGAGAGCAAAGAACTGATGTCTTCCATGAAGATAGAAGCTAATCAAACAGTTCAGTCTGCTTTTAAAACCGACCAAATACCAGCAAGGACACACAACACCCAGGATTCTCATTCACTGTTGTAAGTTTGGAAGGTTGTGGTACAGCCTCTTAGAAACAGCTGTTCCATACAGGAACCAGTGATCTTGCTCCCAAGTGTTTACTCTAACGGGATTCGAACATACTCCTCCCCCCACCCCTATACACAAACCCACTACAAACAAATGTTCGTAAAAGCATCATTCCTAACCTCCAAAACTGGAAGGAATCCAAATGACCATGAAATGATGATGAAAGGACTAAAATTCAGTTTGAAATTCAAGAATGAAAACAGAACTAAGACCCCCGTATGTAGGGCAACATGCAGAATCTCAAAACAACATTCTAACTGAAAGCAGCCAGGCCCACAAAATCCAATGGCTCCATTAACCTAGCATGTGGGAAAGATTGACCTGTACAGGTGGAATACACACGTAGGTTTGCCAGGATTTGGTGGAGAGTGGAGCTTCTGCCAAAAGGAAAGCAGAGGAGTGTAGAAGGAGATCACTTGTTTGTTCCCGGTCGCCCAGACTCAAAATAACCACACAGAAACTTCATTAATTAAGTCACTGCTTGGCCTATTAGCTCTAGCTTCTTATTGGCTACCTCTTACATCTTAATTTAACCCATTTCTATTAATGTGTGTATCGCCACGTGATTGTGGCTTACCAGCAGAGTTCATCCAGCATCTGTCTCTGGCGGGGCTACGTGGCTTCTCCCAACTCTATCTACTCTCTCTATATATCTCTTCCGGCCTGGCTATATTTTGTTAAACCATTGGCTGAAAGCAGCTTCTTTATTCATTAACCAAAAAAGCAACACATATACAGAAGGACTTCCCACAACAGACGAGCTCTCCAAAATGATGAAAAAAACACTGCAAAAATTGACTGATAGCTGGAGAGATGGCTCAGTGGTTAAGAGCATTGCCTGCTCTTCCAAAGGTCCTGAGTTCAATTCCCAGCAACCACATGGTGGCTCACAACCATCTGGAATGAGGTCTGGTGCCCTCTTCTGGCCTGCAGACATACACACAGACAGAATATTGTATACATAATAAATAAATAAATAAATAAATAAATAAATAAATAAATAAATAAATAAATAAAAAGGTTGACCTTATTTTAAAAAAATTGGCTGATATGACAGCTCCATGACCAGATCAATGGTCCGAAGTCATAAACACACACTTATAAGAAATGTATTTTGCTGCTTATATGTATTCTAATGAATCTAATTGTAGAAATAAAGTTCCATGGGGGTGATACTTTATTTACTGGCCTATCTTTAGTATCTATAACTATAAACAAAATTATAAAAATCTTTAATAAGAAGAAAGATAAAAGAGCAAAGGAAAGGAAAGAAAGCAGAAAGGGGAGGAAGGAAGGGAGGTAAAGTAAGAAAGAACAGGAAGGAAAAAAAGGGAAGTCTAACAGGATTTTGTTTTGACAACTCTCAAAATTCTTAAATACATAAATTCTCGAGCTAGGATATAGCTCATCCTATATCCAAGCTCCAGAATTTGCTTATTAAACAGCTGACTTGAAGTCTATCAACTGCTGTATTTTGGGATTTGGTTTTTATAGTCTGGAATATGGAGTAACTACTTGATTGGAAACAGGAGATACAGGAAAAGTGTGCTTTTACAGATCAAAATAGTGTAACCTAGAAGTTCAAAACCAGCTCAGAGGCATATTCAAGACTCTTGAGAAAGAACCATCTAAGGAACATTAGTGGGTTCAAACAGCAAGAATTTAAATATTAAAGAGAATTGCTTTTAAATTACCAGTGTGTTTTATGCCAAATTTCTGCTATATTGTTAAAGTGAGAACGTGGGCTCTCTACTGTCCCAGGGCATAAAGTATGGAGGATAGTTCAGCTAGTAGTAAACTAAAGAAAAGAAAGGAGCTGCCACCAAGAACAATTGGCCCTATTTGGAAAAAAAATAGATAGTGAAAAAGAAAGATATTAGCAGCTTAGTACTCTGCATTATCAACAAACAGGACTCGTGTTGGAACCTCTCAACACCAGGGAGGTGGGTACTTAGAGAGGAAAACTTGCAATAAATATGAAATCTTAAAAGAAAATAAAAAATATCAATAAAACTCTGGAATGCTGGAGCGATTAAAATATCTGAATGCCTGATTTTAGAATCCCTTATCACTATCAGCCTGTCTTTCAATGTCAGCTACAGTCTGTCACTGTTAAATCACGCCACCTCCATCCTTTCGAAGTTATTCATTTGTGCCGTAGGCCAACCCTCCCTTTCAATCTCTGGGTGGAAACACAAACCCTACCTTTCTGAGAACAGGCAGTAATAAATAGTATATATACCATGGTTGACGATCACACAATGTGACCAGGAAAACAAATTGATTTTTACAAGAAGAACAAAAACAGAACACAAAAAGCAAGTGGGCATGAGGATATTCAACCTCACTTGGAACCTGAGAGGTCCCCATTCAACTCCAAGCTCTGTTAGTAATATAGGAATCCCAAGTACTGTAAGGGCACTCTGGAACACGGTCACATGTCACTGGCAGGAGTATAAATCATTACACTATTCCTAAAACCATGTTTGGAAATATTTACCTGATTTGTCTATAATGTTCACATATTTGACAAGTCGTTGTATACTCATATGGTCACCCAGTAAATAATCAGAAGCATAGTAAAATAGTTAGCAAAATATCAAGAACTACATTTTTGCTTGGCAAAAAAAATGTGAGAAGCAGTTTAAATGCTCTGCATCAGAGCAAGAGACAAGCACGTGAGTCATTTAAAAAAATCACAGCATATAACATTTCCAAATGATATTTTTTTTCAGAACCATTTATGAGAAAGAAATTGCTGAAACACAATACTAAGTCCGGATTCAAAATTAAGTACTTGGCATATCTTAGCTACAAAACGTTCTAAAACAGTTTACTTAAATGACTGGAGAATAGGCTTGCAGTTAAGAGCACTGGCTGCTTCTCCAGAGGACTGAGGTTTAATTCCTAGCACCCACATGGTTTCTTACAAACTTCTCTAACTCCATTTCCAGAGGATCTGGCCCCCTCTCCAGGCCTCCACAGACACCATATATTCACCTGGTGCACACAATTGCATGCAGGCAAACACTCATACGCATAAAAAAAAATAAAATTTTTTTAAACATTGGAAAAAAACAAAAATCTTAACAGTGTTCTCTATGGGCAACAAGATCATGTTTATTGGCTCCCTAGTGTTTTGTTTTATTCTTTATTTAACACCTCTGTTTGTTAAATGAGAATGCATTAAACCATGTCTTAGACCACATTTAAAGTTTATTGATTACCAGAATGATGGAGAAGGGTCATCTGTCTATCTGTTGTTTCATTGGTTAATTAATAAAGAAAACTGCTTGGCCTGATAGGTCAGAACATAGGTGGGTGGAGAAGACAGAACAGAATGCTGGGAAGAAGGGAAGTGACTCAGACGTCATGGAGCCAGCCGCCAGGTCAGACATGCTGAATCTTCCCGATAAGCCACCACCTCGTGGTGCTACACACATTATTAGAAATGGGTTAATCAAGATGTGAGAATTAGCCAAGAAGAGGCTAGAGCTAATGGGCCAGGCAGTGTTTAAAAGAATACAGTTTCTGTGTAATTGTTCTGGGTATAAAGCTAGCCATGTGGAGCTGTGCGGGAACACAGCCTGCCATTCCTTCTATATGAGAAGAATCTACCAAAAAAAATTACACTTCATGTGTTAGGATATAGCTCAGTTGTATAGTGCAAGCCTAGCCATCACACAGCCTTGGGTTCAAGGGCCAGCATATAAAAGACAGAGGCGTACATCAAGTGCAGCGCTGCTTATATAAGGTGGAAAACTCAGTCAGATCAAACTGTTAGAAGTGAGAACAGAGGCTCCCTTGCAGTGGAAGGTAGAGAGGAGTAGGGAGTGAGAGGGAGACTGGAGGGTGCTGGTTCCTTTGGATTATTTACTTTTCAAAGAATAATTACTCTCACTCGTGACAAAGGCATGTCTTGGTACTGCATACCTAAAATTTGCTTTAAGAAGAGAATTCTAGGCTACTTTTCAGAAAAAAAAATACCAATTTGTACATTTTAAAGACAACAGAACATCATCCAATTAACCTTCTTCTTAGTAAAGAGTTTAATTCCTCCTAACTTAATTACAACACAGCAAGAAAAAAAAATAGACGCTCAGCACTTAAAACAAAGCAGCTTCCCAGATTCTCATACATGATGCTGAGTGAGCACAAAAGGCTGCCTGTGTGATGCTTAGTGAATCTAGCCAAGCCCCAGGCAAAAGTCAGGTATAGGCTGACTCACCTGGTTGTTTTCACTGCCCAGAAAAGGAGCAGCTGCTTCCTATGAAGAGGTGAGGACACTTCTTAACAACGCTTTCTCGCAAATGGGTGGAGAAGGGGAAATGAGGATGAGCAAACAGAAAAGGAGGGAAGAATAAGCCTCTCTGGGGGTTGGCCAATTCCATCCCATGGGGCACATCCACAGGAAAGGATTCCTGAAAACCCAGGTACTAAAAAGCACAGAGACCAGCTCCAAGCAGAAACTATCAATAAAGTTTAGCAATGAGTATTTTTATATTTGTGAGGCATGCTGCAATTTTCTTATTGTATATGTGCACGTGTGTGTAGGGGTCAGAGATCAATGTCAACTTGGTGTGGGAGGTCCTTCTGTCTATGTATTGCTTTTATTGGTTAATGAATAAAGAACTGCTTTGAGCCTTTGTCAGGGAAGAACAGAACTAGGAGGGGAAAGCTAAGCTGAATGCTGGGAAAAAGAAGGCTGGAGTCAGACACCCTGTAGCCCCACCAGAGACAGATGCTGGAACTTTAGCCTGTAAGCCACAGCCACATGGCCATACACAGATTAATAGAAATGGGTTAAATTAATATGTAAGAGTTAGCCAATAAGAAGCTAGAGCTAATGGGCCAGAAGTGATTTAATTAATACAGTTTTGTGTGATTATTTTGGTTCTGGGCAGCAGGGACAAACATGCGGCCTCCTCCAACATCAACTGTTTTTCTCAAACCTTTTCCCACCTTAACTTTTTGACACAGGGTCCCTCACTGACCTTAGAGCTCATGAATTAGCTAGACTAGCTGACCCATGAGCCCCAGAAATCTTGCTTGTACCTCACCAACACTGAAGGCTCCCCACCTCAGAATTCATCCTCAGGTCCTCGTGCTTACACAGCAAGCACTTGGCTGGCTAAGCCATCTCCCAGTGTGAGGCTTGATTCATGTGCATGTTGAGTAGCGATTGGGCTCTACCTAATCATCATACCCATCTTTAACAGAAGTTATTAAATTAGTAGAAAGATAAGAAATGGAAAAAGTATAATAGGTAGAATGATAGCAAAAGGAGGAATGAGAGGCTTGAGTTTCTTTCTCGCTCTCTCTCTCCTTCACTTGCTTATTGCAGTCATGAAACGGCCCTTTCAGAAGAGTCCCAAGATAAAGATCTTGGCTTCCTCAATCTTGAAGGAGTGACTCATCTATTCAGCACAGCTAGTCCCTTTCCTTTTCCGAGGACACAAGAGCTTCTAATGTGAACCAGAGGCTTTCAAAGACAAACTTCGGCTCAGAAGTCAAAGTCCAGGGAACTTTTTCTGGGGATGATGAGCCCCAAGTGTACAAGAGCAGGAAGCATCTGCGTCACAAGTGGCCGAGCATGAACCTGCTAAGATGGGGCACCTGGCTTGGAAATGTGGGAGGGAACCTCTGTGGGTTGGCTTGGCTGTCTGAAAGTGACAGTCCACATTGGTGCAACCTGTAGTTTAGCATTGTGGGAATCTAATTGCAGACTAACGGCATGTAGGAGCTTCCCGGACAGCTAAGCAAGCTGTGATACGTACTCTTAACTATTGCTACATCAGAAGCAAACATCAAGAGATGGTCCAAGCCTCGGGCTAGCTGCAGGGCAAATCATTATAAGAAATGCAACCATCTTTCCAGGAAAGCTGTTCTACAGTGTGCCCTTCCCTTTGCTGTTAAAGTGTTTAACTAGTGCACTCAGCGAAACAGGAATGTCCCCAGGAAACTCGTGTTAGAAGTGGGGCAGACATTTTACACCAGCCAGAAGAGGAACTTGTCTCCCTGTAAGAGGCCACCTTGCAGGGGAAACTGGAGTAGAGACAGCGTTGGGTACAAGACGGATCCTGACCAGGACTGCTCAGCTATCTGTATCTCTTGCCATGTCAAGACCAAACCTCATGCCAGGACCCTGAAGATGAACTTGGGGAGTCACTGGACCTCTGTTTCTTCTTCCCAGTTTGGCCATATTGAAACACTCAATTTTCTCTGTTTTTCAAATTGTTTCTTCAATGGGCCTATTGTGAAGGAGTAGCTGAGCATGGCTTGTGAAGTCTGGCAGTGCCTGGGCTTCGGCTCTAACAACTTGGGGGACAGAAGGATTAGATATTGATCTTGGACCAAAGCCCCGTGCTGAGCAAACTCCCAGATTTAGATAAGGTTGTGAAAGGTGTGTTTCTCATGAAACAGATGCATGAGCAAAAATAAAAGCCATATCCATACGTTTGAAGTGTGTGAGCACAAAGAGACAAACAATGAGACAGCGCTCTTTCCTTGGTAACTCAGTGTGCTTCATCTCTGCCTCCTCTGTAAAGGCACAGACTTTGGAACCCCTGAAAAGGCCCCATATCCTCCCAACAGCTTCCGTATTTCAAAGTAAATCAATATGTAATTTCGAAGCCTCAGAAACAGAAGCCAGGCAGAGGATTTGGATTTAATGCTCCTTAAGAAGAGTCATTGCCAATGCTAAACACAATGTAGGGCCAGAAAAATTCCACCTCCAAGAATAAACTGATATAAGATAGCATCGTTTTTAACAAAATCTCAATTGTTAGATTTTTACCAATAAAGACTCAGGAAACAGATGCTGGGGTGAAAGCCTGCTAGCTCAGAGAGGCAGAGAAAACACCCAGCTGACCTTCTTCCTCTGTCAACCTACCAGCAACCTTCCTCCTATACCATCTCAAACAAAACTCTTCCAACTTGATGTCCCTCCCTTCTACTTCCTGTGCATCTCTCTCTCTCTCTCTCTCTCTCTCTCTCTCTCTCTCTCTCTCTCTCTCTCTCTCTCTCTCTCTCTCTTTCTCCATCCTCCTGACTCCCTCTTACTCTCTCTATTTCTTTTTTCTTGTTTACCTCCTTTCAACTGGTTAGGGGCTGAGCCACACCAGAGCTACAGACAGGTTTTTCCAGTAAATAATGCAATGGGGTTCACAGCATGATCAAATATCCTACAACAAGATAGATTAACGGAAGAAAAGCACACACACATTAATTTGTCAGATATATTTGATATAAGAGCCCTCAGAAGGACCTAAAAAAGCCAGGTAGTTAGAGCTGTTCATATCTCTCACATGTGTACTAAACTGTACAACGAATACTGTGAAAAAACAACAACCACGCGGGGAGAATTGAAAGGTCAGTTATTCTAACAAAGGCCATATGGAATCCTCCCATGATGACCTCTTGTCCTTGAAGATAGGATAGCCAACTGTCCAGTGTAGGGAGGGTATCTTTCAGATGAGAAACTCATTTCAGCCTTTAAGAAAAAACATGAGCAGGATGAGGTGGTTGGCACTTGTAATTCCAGAACTCAAGAAGCTGTGGTGAAAGAATCATTATGAGCTCAAAGTCAAGCAGTGCTAGGGTGAGAGCCTGCCAAGGTGGGCGGAGTAAATGGGAGGGTGGGGGTGCGGTAGGGAGGAAGGAAGGAAGGAAGAAACAAAGAAACGAAGGAAAGAGAAAGAAAAACAGAAACATCAAAACCTTTGCATATCTTTAGCCATAATAGTTAAGATATCAGAATATCCACAACAGTGGTGTAATGTTAGAGGAAGTCATTCCTGGCCAGAGCAGAGGAAGGAGCAAAGGTGGGGAAAAAAAAAGAAAACCCATAGTGTCAGAAGGCGGGCTGCTTCAGTGATTAACAGGAGTGTCCAAGACCAGTATAACAGCCACAGGCACATAGAGAAAAGGACAGAAGGGAAGGGCATTGTTTGGCAACTCAAATGACTTAATTCAAGGCTTATTTATTGAATTTTCTTTTACCCACTTTATTTCATATTTATTTATGTGTGTGTGTGTGTGTGTGTGTGTGTGTGTCACTGCATGCGTGTGTACCTGTGCATATGCTTGTGTCCCAGTCTACTGTGGAGGTCAAAGGGTAACTTGTGGGGGTTGATGTTCCTCACTTCTACTATTTGGATCCAGGGGATCCAACTCAGATCCAGGCTTGGCAGAAGGCACCTCCCTGGCTGAACCATCTTGCCATGTTAGAATTTTCTATTAACTATATGAAATAAATATAAAATGATAAAGAAACAAGTGAAGTTGATTTTGATCACCTATTTTATCTAAGCAAACAGAAAAAAAAATATAATTTTACAAAGCTAAGGAAAGGCTCGCTTTCTTTCCTGCTACCCAGTGATCTAGACTCAGTTTCATCCATCACACTCGTCACGTGACTGTTCAGCAAGCCATATTGCTCAGTGGTCATAGGTGGTGAGTGGCTACCATCTTGGATAATGGAATATTTTTTTCTTTCCTGACCTACAGGCCTGGTAAAAATTTACTGATTTTTAAACCCAAGTCTTTAATCTTTAAAACAGATTGCATTTATGGACTAGTTTCATTTCCAGTTGCTATAATAAAATACCCCGACAGAAGAAACTTAGAAAAAAAAGGGCTTCCTCATGCTCAGTTTCAGGTTACAGTCCATAGTAGCAGGGGAGTCACGGTAGCCAGAACTTGGAAGACCTGACCACACTACATCTGTAGTCAAGAGCAGAGAGCAATAAACCAATACATGCTGGCTTATGCTCAGCTCACTTTCTCCATTATTATATCGTTCCTTGCCTAAGGAATGGTGCCACCCACAGTGGGTGATTCTTCCCACACCAATTAATCAAGACATTCCCCTATACAGATAACCCAACAGACAAACTGAATTAGATTATACCTCACCGATGTGCCAAGTAACATGTAGAAACATGACACTTTAATCCATAACCTCTCGTCCATTGTCTCCCAAGTCTTATGGTTATCTCCTGATGTAAAGCTCGGTCTTACTTTAAATGTCTCCGTCGTCTTTAACTTGTTCAATTCTTTAAAAAAAAATAGTTTATCTGTAAACTTCTATAAAATCAAAATCAGGTTAAATACCTGCAACATGTAATGGCAATAATACATCTACTTATTCCCAAAGGGAAGAAGCAGTAACAAGAAATAATCACAGAAGAAAAAAAAATCCAGCTGGGGAAATACTAAATCATACAGCTATGTGTCTGTCACATGGGGTTTGTGATGAAGTTACCTGGCTTCAAAGGGTCCAGGTAGCTTCT